AACACAGTCTTAACAGTGACTAAAAGGCGTATGACCTGCTGACAGTTTAGCTAGCCTGCAGACCACTGATATTCCATCTCTGAGTACCCCCAGGACCTGAGAGCAGAATGACAGCAATAGGTGTCAAATAAAGCTAGGATTTCTCAAGTGCCCACCTTGTACCAGAAACCAAGCCAACACCAGATGGATAATTAAAGCAGACCTCTTTCTTTGAAAAGACTGCCTTTAATGCTTTAAATTGTTTCTGAGTCAAGGCGGTGTATGTATGTGTGTGTGTATGAGCCTGTGCACATTGATTCAAAAGGGTTTTGGTTCAGATGTTCTGAGGCTCAAGTCTTTATGGCTGCTGCATGTGACACGGCAACAGCAGCAGAAGATAAATTGCTACCTCAGCTCCATTCTGCAGCACGTGGTTTGAGACATTATAAAAAGAATCAACTATAATACAGTGGCTGTCATTCATTTTCRAGACAGCCAGCATGTATTTCATGTTTGCAGTTTTAATACCTTCAATGTTAGATGTAAATGATTAAAATAAAATGGGTATTTGAGCCTAAGCAACTATATTTTATATAAAAATATATTTTACATAGGAGTGTCCACAGTGTACACCTATAGGTACAAAATAGGCCATCAAAACTTGATGCTTAAGAAGTACTGGACTGTTGTAATATAAAATAGAATCCTTTTCATTAAATATGGTTAGGACATATCTGTTTTTATATCTGAATGTCAGGAAGGAATGAGGTTTATAATAATGGTAAATAAATCACTATGATGAAACTTTGCTAGGAGCACAAAATTGGTGCAACGCAGCTGCTGTGGGAATTAACCTGGCAGGGACAAGCTGAGCTTATGAAAATCCTGAAGAAATCTGGAGAGGTCAGGTGGGATATGCGGGATTGCTCTTAGCATGCTGAATGCRAGAGCAGAATCAGCAGTGGAAGGACAGGAGAGAAGGTGCCCTACCAAGCCACCGCTCAGCTATTTGTCACTAAAGTACCTAGCAACCCGCACTGGGCTTATTGATTCATGGTGGGACCCATCTTTTGAAGCCATCAGTCCCTGATAAATGGTAAAAGCTGTTGTTGGAGGTGAAGATGTTTCTCTGCAGAAGAGTGAGGCTGCACTGGATTGAAACAAGGCCATCTTGAATCACCTCGTGCCATTTATATGGCATTTCATGGGAACAAATCTCCCATGCCTAAGGTCACAGAGCAGCCCAAAAGCATTCCCAAAGAGCCCTTTGCACACACAGGAGTCCAGCCCAGAGATGTTGTTACAGGTTTGGCACTGTGACATATAGGAACAAAGCAGGCATCTTTTTCCCCAAACTTATCTGAAAAGAATGTGACTTTACTTAGTCTGAATATATGACATATTCAAAGCTTTATCTTTAATTCTGCACATATTTAGGTGCAAGCATAAAGTCTGTGTTTTCTTTTCTTTTTTTTTTTTTTTGATTGAAGATAACTCATGCTGATTTACAGGCATATCTTCCTATACTTTCACATGTGTAGATTTCTTTTTTTCATTCTTTCATTCCATTGAAAGGATCAGTGGTTCACCAAGCAGCTCATTTATAAATAGCTCGATGCTTTTTAGAGGAACTAACACATTAGCTCAAATTCTCTCCTGGATCTGAAAACTCAATTTTCTTGATGAAAACTGCAATTATTGCAGTTGAAAGAATCTGCCTGGCATATCAATCATTAATAAGCTATTATAATTGCTTCACATGAATGAATTCTCTGGAAGCATGGGTATCTATAAAGGCTGCTCCAGGAGCCTACTTGAACATCTGTTCATTCTGGAATGTCTTTTTCAGAGCAATGCCATTTTCAGAGCTGGATGTTTTGGAGGACATTGCTTGATACTCCAGAGAAAACAAGTGTCTGCTGCTGACTTGTTGTATGACCCATGGAAAGTCATTTAGCCACTTTTTTTTTTTTTTTTCCCCTCCCCCTATCTCTCTCTTTCCCCCATTCCTCTCTCTCTCTCTTTCATTTTCTTTTAATCATGCTCTGCTTCATAAATTATGTCTCTTAGGATTTAGGGCCTCCATTCATTAGGAGTCTAAGATGACATCGGCAAGGTTTTAACTCTTCCTTTGTACTAAGATGTATTTAGGTTCCTGTGCCTCTGATAATAACAGAAATCCTTCTTCAGGATTTGAAATCTACAGTGAAAAGAAAGCCCTTGTAATCTCGCATTCTATTTGTTTTAAAAATGCCCTCATTTGTCAAAAGCCCTAATTGCTTTTAGACTTCAGTCCTTCAGTATCTGATTTGGAGATGTGAAATGCCAGTAGGAGAATGACTGTGTTGTATGAGACACAGCTTTATGCCTGGTACCAGAGTAACAATTAAATGCTGATCATTCGTCGTGAAAGGGCACAATTCACTGCAAACAGCAATAACTTTAGGAATTTGCCTAAAGTGCTGCATTTACGTCCTTCGCCCATTTATAATCCTAGAACTTCTGTCAGCCTTATGCAGCATAGTAAGACAAATATTATAGTTATGCCATTGCATAAAGTAAACGCTTATTTTAACAAGCACCTTGTGCAGAGCTGTTGGCAACTATGTAAATCACTATCCAGCCTGACAGAGCTCTTAGCTAAGTATAATTTATATATTTTACCCAGAATGCTCTCTCCAAATAAAGTAAATGAAAAATATAAGTAATTACAATGGGAAAAAAAGGTCTTATTTTTAGTATCTACAAGTTTGATGTGATTTTTGATTCTGTCTTCAGAAAACTAAAAAAATCCTCATTAACTCTACCAGTGTTATAGGTGTCTAGGAAGTAGAAATCGTAAATTACACACAATTCCTTTCAAGTGAAAAAGAAGGGAGGCAGAGACATGCACATCAGTAGAAGTGGAATGAAAAGATCTTGTAATTTTGACTGATATTAAAGATAATCAAAAGGGCAGTTAATTCRGACCCTAATTAGGAATACAGGGCTGTCACAAGTAGTGAGATTTCCAAAGCAAGACATTATAATCACACTAGAAAGAGCCACATTCCCAGCAATTATTATCCCCAGCAATTCTTACACACCTCCAGCAGCCCTCTCAAGTTTGTTGCCCTGTTTTTATAAAGATATTTAAAAAAAAAAWAACCCTATCCAATATATGGTAACAGAACAAAGAAACCCTGGTTGTTCTCATATAACCAATAATAATAATAATAATGACTCAGATTCTTTGTTCAAAAAGGTTAGTAGCATAAGACAGACATAAATATGTATGGAAGAGAATAAAGGAGACTTGTTGTGAGTTGTTGTTTAAGCACGCTGTACAGAACAGGAGAATTGGCAAATTCTCAGTAGATTCAAAAGCTAGGAAATTAAAAAAAGAAAATGGAAATGAACACAGTATCTAATTTCAGTTTCATAATACATCTGGAACGGCGACAGTATTCAATATCGAGCACCTCTTAGGGAGATGTCTGAAATCAAGTCMCTTGGGTCAAACACTTCATTTTGACAAATCAGAAAACGCGGTGTTGGAGTTTTTCTGATTTTTTTTTTTGCTGGGCATTTCTGTAAGTGAAATAGCTTCAGCAGTGACATTAACTTTGCTCACTATGAGGAATGTTGTACATTGCTGGATTTCCTTAAAACTAGCTTAAAAATGAAGCCCATTCCTGGCGTTGCAGTAGTGCTTAACTGGATGCTGCTCTGCAATTTGTGTGCCCCAGAAGCACCAAGCACCAGCAGTTTTTCTAAACCAGGGAGCAACGTAGTATGACTGCCTTTATATTGTAGCAATTCTTTTTTCCCTTCTTCTCTCCTTATGTACATTTGAGATAGGCAATCAAGCAAGTATATGGCTATTTATTTTCCAGTACTGCAGTTAAGGCTCATAGGAACCATTACACAGAAAATTACTTGCTTTCTCAGTTTGTATGCCTGACCTTGGTAGCTTTGCTGGTCGCTTGTACAGTTGCCATGGAAATGGGAGAATGATCTTTCTGTTGATATCAATGTATAATTAAGGGTCAGTGAGACCATTCGGGTCAAGAGATCATTTTCTGAGTTCAGCTCCCCTGGGGATGAATGTTATTCTACAGAAATATTACGTACAGGCTGATGTGATTGTTACTCTGTCATCCTAAATTAAACGATGAGCCCCACTGACTTGAAGATAAGAGAGTGAAATATTTGCCAAATCTACAGCTTTCCAACGAACAGCACCTCGGTGAGGCTGCTTGCTTGGTGYGTACACGGCTGTACAAAACGATCCAGCTCCGAGGTGGCAGCTGAGCAGTGCTAAGCGCCTGTGTGATTGCTCCYGACCATTGCAGATCGTGTGCAAAATATAATCCCTTACACCGATAAAAGCCCCCCAGTGATGAACATTTTAATCTCCCCAGGGTGTAGCTATTTCAGAGCCTTTTCACCTAATGGCTGCTCTCAGAGAGCCTGACAATTCTACAAGGGCTGTTTAAAGGAGGACAAGAAGCACCACGTCCTTTCTCCAAAAAGCATTAGCAGGTTCTTTCTTTTCTCCACCGAAGCAAACATATATCCAAAACTGTCCCTTTCATTGTGGGCCATATTTTCTGGATTTTTCATAGCTTTCCTCCACAGCCTTTCCAGCAGGACCACATCTTTCTTGTCAATACATTTCAGGCCAAATCCTCCATCTCAGGCATGACCAGCGCAGAGCAAAGAGCAGGAAACACTTCATGTTTTTAAAATAGGATATTCCTGGTTTGACATCCCAGAGCAGTAACCTTTTTTTTTTTTTTTTTCCAAAAGAGATTGCAACATTGTTCGTGGTTTTATAAACTTACTCTCTATTTCATTATTAATTAAGTGAGGCTTCAATGTTAACAGCTATTGCTGTGCTTTGGCCAGCTCTTTCGTTGTTTGTAGGGAAAACATCCCATCCACTCAATCCCACCCCCAAGGTGGCCTCATCCACCCTGTCTTCCTAGGTTAGCAGGCCAAAAAAGACATGAAAAGTCATCCTGTTCCCATTTCTTTTTTTGCCTTTATTTGTCACACAGAGATTTTCAAAAGCTCTGTCTGCCTGTCGTTTCTGGCTCTCAGAGCAGATCTACATTTTTGACGCACACTTTTCTCCCCCCTGCGTGTCCTTTCTGAACAAGCTGTGCCCTTTCCTATCAGTATTCCAGTCCTGTGAATCCTTCCATCAGCTCTCCGTTATGGCAAACGCTATGGGGTCCTTTTCAGAACTTCTGTAATTTGACGATCCCTCTTTATTAGCACGGGGTCTCTCAACTTGGTTTACTACCGGGAAAACAAAGAGTTGCACTGCATGATAAAACTATMTGAAAAGAAAAAAGAAAATCAGATGACTGTAAAAAGCACAATAAGACTAAGTTCACTATGTTGCCTCAAGATGACTCATGGAGTTTTAGCCGATTAAAAGTAGGAAGGGTTGGGCTAACATAGATTCATACTTAACACTCAGAATATACCTCGGGGTAGGCTATACAGAAAGCTGTCACAAGGTGGAAGCCCAGCTTTGGGCCCTTTCAAACTAGATAAAACAATAGAGTCTTTCGTAGAAGAAATAATTAGGTGCAAATGCTGGAGAAAAGTAGTAATGACACATATAGCCTGGGCCATCTGGCGCCCACAGACTGGATCTAGCCCATAGGGACATTTCCATTGCCTTGTCCTTGGAAGAGACAGGTAATGAGTTTCCTGGCAACAAGGTCCTGTAACGAATTCCTGCTCCTGGGGTGAGTCCAACACAGAGCTAGGCACTAGGTCCGTGTTAGAAGGACAGAGACTGAAGGAACATCTGTTTTCACATATGCAGAGCCTCCACAGCAGCCAAGGTTGCATTATCCTATTAACTACATCCCATTAATATCCTATTAACTCTTCTAACTAACATTATGATCATGTTTCATGAATTATTTGATATCTTTTGCTAGTCTCCTCCAGCAGCATAATTCCATGCCTTTTCCATCATAATTCCATGCCTTTTCCATCCCAGAACTACTTGATCACTTGCTATACATGGATTAAAAAAAGAAATCCCCCTGCGTAGCTTTTTGGTGTCTGGTGTGAGGCAAAAAGTACTTGAAAATTAGAACACAAACAAACTGACTCCTAATAATGGCATACTATTTAAAAAAAGAGCTGATTCATTAAAACAATATGATTTATTTTCTAATTAAAAATAACAAACTGATCCTTCCAGACTCCCCAGTCAATCTACATTTTACCCTCTCAGACCAACTGCTGGGAAATAYATGCTCCTATCACCCAATACCAAGTTTCACAATAACATTTTACAGCAGATGCATTAGCTAGTTTTCCAAAAAATTTAACATATGACTGCAATAAACAGTCAGCTGTCTATTTTGGTTTTAAGGGAATGGACCACTGATTGCCAATTTATTATAAATGATTATGCATTAAAAGACTATCACTGCTAGAATATGATGGTACTAGACAGATCTTAATTGTTCCTCTGACTGCAAATATTTGTATTGCTTGTTCTTTTAGAAATTATGGGAACAGAGAAAACACATCTTCAGGTCACTGGGGCAATTCTAGAGGGTCAAGCAGTTCTTCTATAGCAGCAGAACATGATGGGCAGCACAGAGATCCAAATGCATATTTTTTCAGCAAAAATATGCATCAAGAGCTACAGCTCTTGATGAGCCAGCTAGAGCTGGCAATACAGACAAGATATTTCCACAAGACACCCAAAGCTTCTCTATTGCTAGTGAAGTCTTACGTTCTGTTGGATAAGTAGACTCAAATGGCAGGTACTACCTTTATCTCCTCATCCAAAGAAAACTATAAACGCCCCTCAACTGAATGTGTTATTCTCACAACTTCTTCAGTTGTGAGAATAAGCTCTTACTTTCTTTGATGACTCAGTAGTGAAGTTTAGTGGAAAATTAGTTTTAACCTTAACTGAGAAGCAAGGAATGGTGACTCAGCACCAGGGCAGTGAGGGAGGTTGTGTTGGAAAGAACAGAATTTCTAGAAAGTAAATGGAAAAAATCCCTCTGCAAATACAGTTTCCCTGGGCTAATCATAACTCCCAGAAATCCAGTTTACAGGATATTACCAGTGAATTCTTTGTATTATTTTAACAGCTTGAGCTAAAAAAAAAAAAGGAAAGGACTTGTTTTAGTTAAAACCTTACTATTTTCTTGGGAAAGTTTTCTTTTTGGTGTGATTTTAGGATTATGAGGTGATTCAGGAGATACGGGACTTGAGCTGTGAGAGGACTTAGCAAGACATGTATTCGTAAATCCCCTGCTAGGTGCTAAAGTCAAAAGTCAATGCTGTCAGTCCCYGGAATTGTCTTCTCAACATTAAAATTCTTCAGGTACCTCCACTTCTGGTCATGCCCTGAGTTTGTCAGGCTTCACAGGGTTTTAAAGGAAGACTTGGATTGCATTCCCCGCTCTACTGAATACTTAATATAAAATAGGAAATATTAATAAAGCAGGGATCAGATGAGACCCTTCTTTCCCAGGAGAGTGCACTCAACTAATCTGTGGCATCACACTTTCTCTCTCTGACCCAATGAATATTCAGTTAATCTATATAGTGGATAGGTTCAATAGAGGAGAGTGACCATCACTCTTTTTTTTTTTTTTTTTTTTTTAATAAACATGGACCTCCTGTTTTCTGCGAAAATGCTTTATCTTCTGGAAATTTAATCAACCCAATGATTATAAATACCAACAGATACATTGTACTGTGTACTCTTAAATTTCTTATTAATGAGGTATCAAATTCTCTTTCATTAGCAAATCAAAATTAGTGTTCCCTTCTCCCCACAAAGCATGTTATATTACACACTAGCAAACTGGAACCTACTTGAGTTTAATTCCTGAGCTGCAGCCTGAAGCAGCAGCTCGGTCATAGATCATCCACTTTCAAAACTGAGCATTGCATCTCCCACCAGCTAGGTGGTAGGTGCTCAGAGGAGGCTTCCTTATTTCACCTGCTGTATGGGATGTTAAGGCAGTTCCAGCTCTCAGAATGACTTACGAGAAGTGCTCATAAGCACTTGCTTCAGCAGCATCTGCCTCCCTGTGAGCTGGTTATTGTGCATAGAGCTCAACGGAAAAAGAAATATTCTCCTTTCCACTCTCATGATAAAAAAGAACAATCTGAAATTAGGTGCTGGAACAATCTCGATTTTTCCTCATCACTAACAGCATCTTTCCCACATTATAAGTGTTAGTCACAAACAAACACACTCTGATGTGTTCATGAGCATTTCTTAGCCTTGCAACATCACTGTGATACATTCACTGAAACACAACACGGACTGGTTGCTAAACTAGGTGGGAAACTGAGATATTTTGACCCTCAGCCCTGTACAAAGACTCTGGCAGAGCTAGTCACATCACAGAATGGCCTTTCTTCCTGGGGATGAAGGTGGGGACTACGGGGGAACAAGTACTCTCTACAATCCCAAATGCCATGGAATCGAGAACTGCCCTTCTTCAGCCCTTACCAGGAACAAAATCCCAAAGGTGGGTCAGAAGGAATATAAAAGGAAGGCGTTAGAAACACTGCTGGACTGAATGAAAAGATTTTTCATAAGCAAAATTGCTAAGCATGRTTTCACAGCAGTTGTCCAGCTTTTAGGTTACTGAATGTTACTTGTAGCAATTTGGAAACAGAGGCTAAATTCACTTTCCATGGTATTAATCTGATTTTTTTTTTTTTTACAGGCTTTTCTGCTTGTTTTCAAATTACAAAGGGTAATGTTGATAGTGTCCTGTGAATGGTTTAAGAGCCTRTAGAGAAATTTCAGTTAAGTGGCCTATTTGCCAGGGTAACAATTTTGATGAATTGTGAAGGAATTTTGCTTCTATAGACAGTATTTCCTCCAACCATTATATAATCTTGACCTGTGGGTCTGAATTTAGATCTTACTTCAGCAGGCATCATGACTGAAAAGTAGATGTCAGAAGTCTTAAAAGGATTAGTGCTCCATATATAACCAATAAAATTGATTTATGAATTAGGGTCCCCTTTAAATGTAATAACATTTTCTTTCTGCAAGCAATGAAATTTCTCGTAGCTGCCAGTGTAGTTATTCCGCATCAGGAGAAGATATTGACGRTGTGCTCAGGGCAACAGCAGGATAAATAAGAGGACGGGAGTAAGCTCAGACAGTTCTCCACCAATTGCAGGTACTAAAAACTATAAGACCCAAGTCGGCTCTTAGAAAAATGTTCCTTATAACTTCACAATTTTGCAATAATATTATACGATGTTAGTGATGAAAATAGGTCTCAGAAGCTCTGAAACTTGTGCTTCTTACACACCAGAATTTCAATGCAACTGTGATAATTATCCAGATCAGAAGACTTCCTTCCACTGTTAGTCGATTAGTGCCCAGACCCTGGATTCCATCTCAGACTGAGCAAGATGCACAGAAAGACCAAAAACCTGCACTGCATTGAGTGCTCAAAAAAACTCAAACAGAAGTCAAATGAAGGAGTTTGGATTAGGTGGTCTCTGGTGTGTAAGGTTTTYTTCTTGAGCATAAGAACAGGAAAAATGGGATTTTTCCAGCATGAGATGTAAAGTACATGCATGCTAAATGGACAGATGGGTACGATGTAAAGAAGAAAATAAATGCTGTTCTTGAGGGCAGTATATCAGAAGAACTTCCAGATCTCCCCCACTCCCAACTGGATTCACAAATAGGTGCTCAAGTGAGTAACAGGACTACACCCTTTTAAGGAACAGCAATGGGTCTATGGAGCAGCCTGACAGCAGGATTTGGCACTTTGTGGTACCATCTCTTTGCTGCTATCACTGAGGTAAAGTGAGAAACAGCCCTAGCTGCAGTCTGAATTGATAGCTACACCCAATACCATCCCAAAGGCCCTATATTCCATATACAGAGTGATCACGGAATCACAGCAGGTTCCAACATCTAGTCCAACCCATCTGCACAAGCAGGGGCATCCACAGAATATGAAGGTGCAATGAGACTCAAGATAGCATTTTCCTAGAAGTTGTCTGTATTCTAAAATAATAGCAGGTACATACTTAAATATGGCAAAAAGAAACAATAGAAAGGAGATGCTTTTCATTCATTCCAGGGCTGATAATTCAGTGTACAGCAGGAAAAACAGAACTTAGTGCTATTAGGATATACAGGAGCAATATTTTCTGAGCTTCTACCAGAGTGGGAGCCAAACAGGCTGCTGGGTTGCTTCCCATTCCAAATATCAGAGCACAAAAAGCATGCAGGAGAYGTTTGCAGAGACCTCTGCAAGGCAATGGCCATTATTTTCCTGTTTCCCTTTGTATGAGAATAGAAAGACACACAAAGATTTTAGCAAGGTTTGGAAAGTTCTGGTGGGGACCCCACTGGCCTCACTGTCTCCAAGGAGAGCTGCCCCTGCCCAGAAGCATTACTTCTTCATGACATCAATATCATTGAAAGCACAAATGTCCCTATCATCCCTTGGGTTTTAAGGTCACATAAAGTCATTCGTATTTTTTTTATCCCAAAGCAACACGTACTTGATTCTTTTCTGCATGTTGGTGCACTATAACTAATCAAACATTCAAGCAGCAAAAATGTGGAAATAAAAATAAGTATGATATGCAGTGTGGTGGAATTAATGTGCCTAATGGAACATTAACTTTTGTATTTCTAATGTTTTTGTATGTGTGTGATTTTTAACTATAGTTAATGGTGTTCTGACACAGCATTTTATATTTAATATTTTTCCTTTTTTTTTTTCTCCAAAGTTCAATGACAAAAATGAAATAAGGAAGGGAAGGGGGTAAATGGAAGATAAATATAAGGATGTGGAAACAATAGATTCAGGGCCTCTGCTCAGAGTCAACCCTTAGTTGTTTGAGGGCTGATGTCTCTCTTAAATGGATGTGCACTTAAATAGGCACACCTAAAGGTGCAAGAAAAATCCTATGCATCTCTATTTTGTCTTCATTTTYAGCTGTGCATTTCTGCTGTATGTGCTCTGGACCTTGTATTTAGAAATTAATTTTCTTCATTAAGAACTTTATTTGTAATGCAAACAGTAAGGAAGATTTTAACAACATTGAAATTAAATATCTAACCCCTTTCTGTCCAAGATCACAAATTACAAAGCTTCTTCACTGAGATTTGAAAACATAATTAAAACTTATTTTTGGCAACAAACCATCTAGGGAAAATCATATTCCAAGCTTCAAGGTCTATGAAAATTGAGAGAGTATGAGATCAAGAGAGGAGAAGGGGAAGGAGGTTTTACAAGTCTCCAGGTTTTACACACACCTTTCTGGGATTCCAGTCACTGTCAGGCTAGAGGGGATGTCTCGACCATCATGTAAACTGCATGTACCTCATCTATCTGCAGTGGGTCCATGTGTCCTTCCCCACCCTGCCTTGAATCCTGCCCAGATACGTTATTTTGGATCCCCCTGGGCTCTGTACAGGCCTCTGAACACCGAGTGCAGCGTAAGATCTGCTCTGCTGAAGGCTCCCAAGAGCAATATGTGCCTTACAATTACGGAGGTGGGGAACCACTTGCATCTTAATAAGAAACAGAACAAAACCAAAAAGTCCTACTGTCCTTGATTCATGAAAATAAATTTGTATCACTTATTTGCTCTAGAATTGTAGCCCTTTCAATATGTATTATAACTCAATAACAGCATTCARGCTTTATATCTTCATATTCTGACTGAACAAATCCCTTGTAGAATTGTGTAAAAATATTAATGGCCAAGGACATTAAGATACTTATCAATATGGGGGCAAGCAAACTCTGATCCCATCTGTCTTCCCTGTGACAGATTTTCCAATAAACCTGAAGCCTATGCAGTATTTCAACAAACATTTTTAAGCAAGGATATAATGCACTGTGTGTTTAGGTCACTGAAAAGAACACAATGTCTTAGATCTAAGTATTTAATTAAAATGTTGTTGTTGAATTAAATTGTACAACCACCTCATTTGCCTCATGTTTGCTGTAATTATAGTGGTCTATGTCTCTACCTGTACTTTAACTCAGACAAAAGGGTAAAAGGYACAAGTGGGACATTAGTCTCCTTAGGACAGCTGTGTTTCCTGTATAGTTTCCTGCTCAAAAGAAAGATCTGAGTTTCTGAGAAATGCATTCATGCAAGCATGGTCTGTCCATCAGTTTTACTCTACCTAGGATCCCTCTATTGCCCTCTTGGCTTATTTATCTCCAGTTGTACCATAAGCCTGAATTCACTGAAATACTTTAAGCATAGATTTAAGTGTAATCATGTGCTTAAATTCTGCAAGCTCAGCAGGAGGTCAGCACACATTTATGTAACAGAGATTAGATCTACCTGGCTTGCAGATTCAGGTTGTCTCTAGACAGGGTCAGCTCCCTTCCTTCTGCTTCCTATTTTCTTCCTCCAGTGCTATTCTCAGCTGCCAAAAAGKACAAGTTTGTCCTTTGCAATCTGCAACTGAAGACGTGATGCCCATGTGCGCAGAGYGTCAACATCTATTCAGCTTTGACAGGCACAATTGCTCCAGGCTTCCTAGTCAGTGATGCTTTGACAGAAAGAGTTTTGTCCTGCAGGATTCCTGGGATGCTGTAAGTGGTAACTGGATGGACAGACACCACAGATACTTTCTGCTTGTCCATTGTGAGCTGTGTGTATAGCCAGGATCATTTACTGGGAGAGGGCAAGTGATGACTTCGTAATGTCATCTGCATCTCTTGGCCACATGGCCCAGCTCTCTTACTCCTGCCTTTACCCATTCAAACTGATGTGAAAAAATGTGAAAACTAGGGAAGCTTTCATAGTTTTAATAAAAAAAACAGATGGATTAGGCTAAGTACAAAAGAACTGGTCCATCTGGCCCAGTATCCTTAATGTAAAAGGTCGTACAGATTTATTCTTCTCCAAATACCTACTCAACCTGAAAGCTGGGACTGCAGGCATAAATGGCTGCACCTGGATTGTCACATTTAATAAACCATAGTGGAACTATCTTCCATGACTCTATTGCACCTTATTTTTTAAATCTCCAAAAYATCCCAAGCCAAGGATTTCCACAATGTAAACATACTGCCTTCCTATATTTTTTCCTAAGATTACACTAACGACACTCTATAGGACTATTGCTACAATACTGTTGCAGTCAACACTTCAGGGTGTAAGCACACACAAAAGTGCAATTCTTTAGTGCAATTCAGCAGTACAAATAAGATCTTTCAAGACAGTAAAGAGAAACATGCCCTGAGGGTTTCATAAGACAGTTGTGCAAGATAAACAGTAATCTCTGAGATAAATTGTCAGACTTGCCTGCCTTTCTTGAAAGTGGTTCATTGGTATTTCAGCTGCAGAAATGATTATTAAGAGTATTTAAGTAAAAGCAGGAAATGTATCCCAAACCTGGCAGTGACTATTCTGTAGAGTCCTGGGTACTTTCTCTGATATTCAGATGCTCTTAATTCCTTAGATGAAGGAGATGCATCTTCTATAAGAGGTTCGTGGTTCTTTAGGTCTTTAATGTAGAAGGCTATGGAGATAGTAAAGAAATGCAGTTTACATTTTTTCTAAATAATTTTCCTTTTTTTTTCCTCTATGGCTTTCTTTTTGCTTTTCCTATAGAATTTGATCCACAAAATTCAACTGTTGTAGACATTACTAAAATTTCTTTTTCACTGCAACAAACATCCTGTACATAACTCATAATGACAAATACAAGATTTCTTCAATGCTATTAGCTTTTCAGTTGTCATATCACTTAACTGAAGCTCTGCCAGTACTGCAAGCTGAGCACAATGAACATATATCAGGGAAGATCTCCAAGAAACACAAGTCACTTCAGGAGCTGGCATGCTTTTCTCCAAGTCAACTGTGAACAAAGCACAGCAGTAGCAGAATAATAATATAATGTTAGAAGATTTGCATTTGGCAGCAGGGGTAGACCAAGTTTCTTCCTATTTATGATGATAAAAGATCCCAAGTCATTTTCAATAACAGAAATACCGTGTTGCCTTGACCCAATTATAGCACTAAGCAAATGTATTTTGCATACACTATATAGTGGTTTTTGTTTTGCCATGCAATACTCCCTTTGTTCTTCACGTCTTTCCTCTACTTTCTACTATCTCACTGTTATTATACTTTACTGAAGAAATTATACTTGGATACTAGCTAAAGATGTGGTTATTGAAGTTACATCCCCAACTATCTTGCTTCTCCCTCTTCTACTCTGCTTACTGACTGCCTCAGTCTGTAGTTAGCGTATTTAACAGCAAAGTTCTGTTGTTATCCCCATTTTTAYGGGGATATGAGGATGAGGAATAAGAAATTTAAAGACTTTACTATAAAATTATTTGTTATTTATGGGGAAAAGCATCACAAACTTACTTGATTGCAGTTAAAGCCACCATGCTTCTTTATTGACCTTCTACTTACATTCATGCACAACCCATGCACTGACTAGGTTCCAGGAAATAACTGATAAGGAAACTGTCTGCTATATTGTCTGAAATTTGCCTTTTTCCTCACATTTCCTGTCTCTGTTTTCTCTTTCAGACTAACTGCTAAAGCAGTTGCAGTACTGTTACCCATCCTGGGAAGCTCATGGATCTTTGGTGTTCTAGCAGTCAATGACCATGCACTAGTATTTCAGTATATGTTTGCTGTATTCAATTCATTACAAGTAAGTACCTGGTATGAAAGCATACAGCTACTGAACTGCTGCTGAGATTCAGCAAATGGATTGTTATAARTGTTTCCACATGCTGATATTTATTGGATTTTTCCAGTGTTCTCTCATGTGTCTTTTCAGTCTGTGATGACAATACGGAGATACCGGTGGTTAGTCCCATTAAAYAGAGCTTTCATTCCCCTCCTTAGCGCTTTCAGCAGCAATAATAAAATAAATGAGACAACAAGCTCAGGAAGCAAAATTCATTCTTCCAGGACCAAGCTACATTCTTCACTGGACATACCTGAGCAATTTTTCACTGTCTGTTTGTGGCTTCAATACCAAGACTATGTGAAAACAAAAGTTGTTGGGACCAGTGCAATTTCAGGAACACTCCTAAAGATTATTTCCCCTGCTTTTATGTTTGGAAACACAGGCAGAATGTTTTCCTCTAGCTAAAGAAAACAGTTGACCTCCTTTTCAACAAACTTTTCTCCTTAAAATCCCAAAGTTTAGAGGATGCAACTTCATGGGAGATAGTTCAGACAAGCCTCATCATAACCTGTGGGAATCTCCAATTTAACAAAATTTATTTGCAGATCTCCATCTACTTGATATATATTTTATACAATACTGTAAGGAATAGGCTCAGTCTTGATACTTCTCTCTGTTTTCAGGGATTTTTCATCTTCCTGTTTCACTGTCTCCTGAATTCAGAGGTACGTTTCCCTCAAATATCTTGAATGAGATTTTCCTTTTCTTTTATAATAGTAGTAGTAGAAATTTTGCAGCAGTGCAAGCGCCTTAAAATGTTCTGAAACTCATGCTTGGTATTTATAGAGAGCAGTTGTTTAATGCTGATGATTTGTGTACTGCCTTACTCCTCAGTCACAACTGCTCAGTAATAGATGCTCTTTCTATGGAGCTGTCTCTGCAATTCATGCAGAAGGTACAAGCCTTACCAAATTCAAGGGTGGAAAACAAAAACTTGCTTATAGCTATCATTTATTTTACATAATATAAGAGGAGGTTTGCATGCATGGCAGGGGCACAGGACCAGATGGGAACCTCCACACTAAAGACTCTTTGGTGCAGAGGGAGCCTAGCCAAGCACAGACTATGCTACTAAGCAAGTAAGATTAAATTGTGGCAGATTTCACTCTGGCAGCCCCTTTTGCTAGGCCCCTGCCATTATTATATCTGGAAAGGAAAATAAATATTAACCTCAGCAAAACATACTTTTGGAGATCACTCATGCATTTCTTTATGGGAAAACAAACAGAGTAGAACATATTCCAGGTATTTTGCTTGGCAGGCAGGGAAGGTTTTCACAATGCAGCAAGAAGAATCTTTGCACATTAGGAGTAGTCGGGGTGAAACCAAAGTCAGGCCCCAAGCAGGCAGCAGCCTCTCCTCCCTAGACTAGAAAATGCCCAGAATGACACATTATCTATAAAAACTTCTGCTGAAAACCTTTTCCAATGTGCTGACAGTAGGGCACTGATCATTGAAAACCCACATACCTTAATTTTGCTAGGTATCTGATGCTAATATATGCTTAGGTCTCCAATATACACACACACACACAGGGGTCTACAACCTATTTCTTCTCCCAGCACATCCRAAGGCCTCTGGCACTACACAGAGCATCCCTCCTGACAGTCCTTTCATTCATCAGTTGCCATTTATTAAGGTTTCCTAAGCCCTCCAATATTAGGGTATCAACCTGATCTTTGCTGCAGTCAGTCCAGAGTGAGAGCCTGCTGTTAAAGTCTTGAACTTAAYGTCAATCAGCTAAAGTTAAGCAGGCAAGTTCAACTCAAGGAAGACAGATATTCCTTCATCCTGTTTTCCTCTAGGCTCAGAAATCCTTCTTTCTTCTGTCAAGCAGCTTAGTCTAACATCAAATACAAATACTTGAATGGTTGCCATTTTTCCATGAATAACGAGAAATGAAATTCATACATTTTTCAGAATTTGCATCCTTGTCGACCAGTTTATATATAGCTAATGTGAAAATCACATTTGGAGAGTAGCTCAYACAGGCTCTGCTGTATGCTAGGCATACAAATCTACGATAGTGCTTCAGGTAAACTTYTGCTATAAAGCAAAATCCATGGATATTTCCAAGTATTTGGAGAAAACAGAGTTTAATTCTTGGTGTCTCTGCAGAAGAAATACCTTGGTATGATAAAGGACTACAGGTAGATAGGGCTGATGACTTGAGACRGTACCTACCCCTGTGCACTGCGTGACATATCACATCACCTTGGCTAAGATAACATGAATATACAGCTGGTGRAATGAGGCAGGAGACTGTAAAACACTTTGTATTTAATGTATGTCACTTAAAGCGAGGCTGCAACTTGAGATCATGAATAYAAAAATAATGCAGAGTTTTTTGTTTGTTGTTTTTGATAGAGTGATGTTAGCAGGGAGGAAGGGTAACAGGAAAATGACTGTAGGCTGAACTTGAGAAAATACAATTTTATTGAATGATATTTTCTATTTGTTTTCATATTTTTTTTCTTAAGGTTAGAGCTGCCTTTAAGCACAAAACCAAGGTCTGGTCACTCACCAGTAGTTCAATTCGCAATGTGAATGTGAAGCCCTTCAATTCAGACATTGTAAGTAATCCCTTCCCCACATTGTCTACTTGAAGGTTTTCTACAAGAAATTCAGCTGGAAAGGACAGGACCCAAGGAGGCACCCAGGTTGTGCTTAATACCTAATCTTGTCAAGGATCAGCAAGTACCATGTCCAAGCTACAGTATTTGTAGAAATCAAAAGGCTAAATTCTGCTTTCCACACCAAAACAACACATGCATACATCATATGTTTTCCTATCTCTCCTCAAATTATCTGGAGGCRAAAGACATTTGTGTTTCTAAGGAATATCTATTATTTCCGAAGACTGGTTAAGTGATCACTGCCAATCACCTTAGAACCTATCAATAAAAGTCCTAAATTCTTTTATGGCATATACAATCAAGACTGACAGAGCTGTTATTGAAATGAAAGCTTGAAAACAACTATTGACTCCAGACAAGAATAGCTTAGCAAAACAAATTAATCTATTTCCAACGTTTCCAATGTTGTTTTGTCTTCTAGATGACCGGGAACAGGCCAGGCACAAACCCCACAAAGCTGAACACCTGGGATAAGAGCACTAACTCAGCTAATCGCATTGATTTATCAGCAGTCTGACAGTCGTACAAGCTTCTCAGTGGAGGAAAAGTTGAAAAAAAATCAAGCCATACTTTAAGGACTTCTGACACAGTGTCCACCAGTATTTTCACATAGAAAATCGCCTTTTTTTTTTTTTAAATCACTGCCTAATTGGCAATTGGCATATTGTTTTGTTGAATAAGTCCTCATCTGTTTGCCTTCAAAACTGTAACACAATCTACCACTTGGTTATTAGCAACATCTGTAAAAAGTAGCACAAATATACACTGGATGGTTTTGTCGGTCGTGATGAAAACACGAGCTTTGTAAAATGACTTCTTACTGGTTGAATCACTCCCAGTTTCTAGAATGAAGGAAAGACAGCATGGATTTTTGTGTTCTAAAATGAAATGATTCTCACTGTGATGCTGTAAKAGGGCTACTCTGGTCTTGCTGTGCACTCTGTTTACATTTAATATCTTACAGAATCCAATTATCCAAGTGCAACGGATACATAAAGCCAAGAAGCGATTAATTTAAATATCCCAACAAGCCAGAACTTAAGAAGCAGGTTCTGACTATTCAGCTCCTATGGAAATAGCAAAGCTAATATACATGTCTCTGCACATGAACAGTGTATGTAACATATAAGAGTCATATACATGGCCTGTGGGTATTTTAGATACTCCTCTTTACATTGTACCTGTACTTCTGCCATGGAGTTATGCCTGCAGTTGTATCACAGTGCAAAGCATCCGTGCTGCTTCATCCCAAGCTTTTGGGTGCAATCAGCAACCGTCCATCAAGTGCATTTCACAACATGCTGGCTTTTGGAAATCAAAACCCAGCACTGTGACTGATCTTCTTCCTTTAACTGCTCAGATTGAGACACTGAATGCCAAACAAATTTGTGATCCAACTATATACTGTGAAGACAGACAGATTACAAATAACTATGTATTATCACCTACAGACATCTTTTAMATAGGTCTCTGCTGAGTCTTTTGTGGTTTTTAACTGTGCTCAGCATTAATAGCTTCTCCTCCAGCACTGCCATGAAGTATCTTTAAGGGAAAGRAAATACTGTAATTTTTCTTTTGACCGTTGTATTCTAGGCTCTCAGAAGGGTATTTTGAGCACAAGGGAGTGAAATCTCTGCAGACAAATACAGCAAGAGCCCCTGAAAACCATTTCCAAACTTGAGACCCCCTTACAAGGAGGTCTTTGCAGCCTTGTCCCCTTATTCACACGTGTTGATCGCTTCTAGTAGCGGTTTCTTGAAGGCACTTGGCATACCTCTTCATAGGAATTACCAAGGCAACTATATGTATTTTTCTAGTACACAAGTCTACAAAAATATCACAACAAAGATGGAGTTAAGCAAATCTTCACTCTTTCACTTGCCTCGAATCTCTCTAAGAGTCATATTTTTAATTTAAGGTTTGTATCTAACATCTTGGACTATCTATGGTMCCAGTCAAGCTAGCAAGACAACTGTGATTGATTCCAAACAGAAAGGTATCTGCCCCCTAATACACGTGGTGAAAATTGCTCACTGGATGGTAAATCTGAAAGGAAAAAAATATTTGAGGTTTAAGGAACAGGAGGTATTAGGACTGAATTAAATGAAGTGTTTCATTCAAAGGAAGTGGAGTTGAAAGTTCAGAAAACATCATTCCATTTTTGATCAATTCCAAAAAAGGTCTCTACATTTCTCTCCCAAGAGAAAAAGAAAGCAATTGTATCAGTTTGGACCGAGTTTTTCCATTTCCCTTGCCTTTTCCCACTCCTGGCCAAGATTTGTTGGATGGTCACCAAAGTGAAAAATCCACAAACCACCTCAGTCTAGCCATGACTAGAAACAGATATTAGTTAATTTCACCAAACAYGGGCTGAATTTATGCAATTTTAACAGGGCAGCATGTGACATTGCATATCATACATACATATTCATACAAAATATATGCTTCTAATCTTGTGTTTCCTGTGTTGCTAAACAATTCTTAAGCTGTTGACAGCTAACCGTGAACAGAAAGGTCAGTAAATATCTAAATGGCTATGTCTTTCTTTTGGCTGTTATGTATAGCTTTTTTCTAGCCCTTTGAACATTAAATTATCTTACAGCTGTGCAAACATATCTGCTTTTCTTAGCCTGAGAATGTTTTTGTTTGTTTGTTTTTTCTTCCCCCAAAAGATACAGCAGAAGGAGCCCTGTGAATGTATGGAGGCAGATTGTAACAGTACTGTGATAAGAGTTCGAAGTGTCTGCATTGTGTGCAGACAATATATATAAGCATATTTTTTGATACTGGAGCACATCTTTTTAAACCACTGTGACCATGGATATAGCTTTAAATCCTCTGTGATAACTTCTCTTATAATCACTATGTTGCAGTATGAAGAGCTCTGTGAATGAACCAGAGAAAATAAAACCTTTTTGTAAAATCTTTAAGTACATTCCTCTCTACATCCTATTCATTGTATGCATTTATTCCTATGCTGACTGTATATTGGTCGTACACAACTGCCCAAGGTCTATTTGAAAGTAACACACAATATTCAAGTGACAGTATCTAGTATACAGAGTTAAACCTGTTTTTCATCCAGGTATAATATATTAAAATTGATCACCAAAATTAAGTATAGCATGAAAATATTTTTATTTTATACTTTAGAATGTGACATAAATGTATTCTATATTGAGGGAGCATTTATTACTCTGCATCTACTGAAATTCACTGCGAGTACAACAGCTTTTCCTCCAGTGAATAACCTGTGACCCAGGCTTTAACATTTGCACACTACTTGTAATGAAACAATACATCTTGCTAAAGTCACTTGAGGTTAGGAGTTAGAACACTGTATTTATGACATTAGTTTAGAGATGGAGTTTCTTCTGGTTTGGATAAACTAGTAAAAACAAACAAAACCCCACATTTCCCATTTCCATCTACATCTGTTTGTTTTGTTTGATTCAATGTGTGCTTGTTGTTACTGAATGCAGTAAGTGTATTGAATAAGAAATGCTCAAATGAATCTTTAAACTGTCTCTTCCTGTCCTCAGTCTTTTGAAGTCTGAAAGTCTTTCAGTTTATTTATGGGCTTGTATATAGCAGCTTTTGCAATTTTTTTTCAGGACAGTATCATTTTGTCAATGGTATGAAATCTTAATTGAATGAGATGCGAGTTTTAAAATAGATAATGTAGCAAGAATGACTTTGCTAGTAAGTACTGAAGTAATTTASTTTTGTTGTTTTCCCTCCAAATAAATAAGAAATCTTAATTTCCTAAAACGGCTTTGTATTTGTTCAAATTACTTTGACATGCGTTATAAACAACATTAAAGTTATGCTTCCCTGTGAATACTAATATTATGCTTAAGCAAGCAGATCTTTACTTGTATTAGAGGTCCTATCGAATTCTTGCATTACACAGCTTAGTGCAGCCCAGGTAGTGTGCAAAGAATATTTTTGTATTAAAGTCTATATCTACAAAATATTCTGAGGAAAGTCATTCCCTCCCACATTTACTCTCCATTGGACCCCATCACAAAGGAAAGTACCTGTTAGTCATAATGTTAGGACAAATTCCTCAATCTTATTTTAAATATATACAAGTCGTCTCTCTCTGTGTCAAAGCCAAATTCACACATGAATCAGGGCCATYCCCCTCAATGGAGTGTACAACAAAAACAGGGAATGATTCTCGTGACACCACAGAGTCCACAGACGGGCAGGACACTTCAATCCCTTCAAGAGAGAGTAAATTCACRAGAGTTATTACACCACCATCGCCCCGTCTTTGCATGTTGTACTCTATTACTTGCACCACCTTTATTTTAAAAGGATGACATGAGGAATTTTGCCTCTCAAARCCATCTATTCCATTGCACTGTGATCATGTTTAAGGTTAAAGTTAGTTCTATTACAATTAATAGGCTGCCCATAACCTCCTCTGCCTCTCATAGCTCTGTAGATGTGGGATGGTGGTGATGGAAAGCTAAATTGGAGGGAAATTGTATGATGAAGAATTACCAGAGCAATTATATGCTGAAAAATTAAAGATTGAAATTTAGATGAGAAGGCTGTTTCGTCAACTCTCAATAGCTATTATCAAGAAACCTTTCTCCCTTTGTAGACATTCAAATCACGTAGCAATGAATATGTAGAAGAACACTTTCACTATTGTGTGAAACTCAGGGATTTTTTATTAAATTTTTATCATTCATGACAGAATAATAGATTAGATAATTTTGGCATCGGCTAACACCATGTTTACCTTTAAAAAATTCATTCTATCTAGGTTATGCTTGTATGACTCAATGCAGTCTTTGCCATGGATAGTTATTGCCATAATTGCCCTTGTTCACACAATTTTCTTGCTCAATAATACCATATGTTCTTGGAATACAGAGACCATATTTCATCTTGTCAAGGATGATTACAAGACTAAGCATACCACTGACATCAGCATATCCACTGGCTGTTGACACCCAACACAGACAGAGCTATAGGGATGGCTACTCTGCACTATTCAGTGCATCTCTACCAAACACCTTCCTCGACCAGCTGCTAGTTTGCCAGGAGTAAACTCGAGCAGAGCAGTTGTGGGCTGCCTGATCTACCTAGAGCAAAGACAAGCAAAGTTTTCCCTCTCTATACTATTTTTCTGTGGTTAYTGAGCACATGTAGGCTCATCTGGCCAGGCCATGCAGTGCATTTAAGCATTCTCCAAATGAAGCATTTGCTTGTTTCTACTTCTAAATGTGAAACAATGCACACAAAATTCAGACTGCTTGGACCATACYGAGCAACTCTGTCAATTAGATTTTAGCTTGTGCTCAGAATATTTCAGAGGAAAAACTTAAAAAAAAACAAGACAAACTTTTACTCTTGCAAAAGGCTTTAACTTAAGACCAAACATCAAATATTACATTGAAAGTCTTGGCCCTATAAAGACAACTTGGAAAACTTAATATTACCTAAAATCATATTATGCAAACTATAGCATGCCTCATTCTGGCACTGTAGTTTTAGATTCTACATTGGTCAGCCAAACTCCTTTTCTCATTTTTACATTTTCTCACTAATTCAGTCACGTCCACTAACTTGATAGATTTCATCTCTTAAGAAAAGAGTTTGCATGCACATATATGTTCTTATGGAGCAGAAAGGGGAAAAACTTGTCTCACACACAGACCAYGGGTCTCTCACACTAGGTTGATGGCTGAGTGGGAGGTGTCAGGCTGCAGAACACAGAGGCTTAGCACTGTCAATATTTGCACAGACAGCTTTTGCAGCAGAAACAGAGCATAACTATTGGGAAAAAAAAAAAAACCCACACCTTGGCTGTGGATTCCCATTGACACTCCTGCAGTTGCCTTGTTTGCAAAAATTTCCCCAGCTTTACAGTAAAGAAATAACAAGACATTATACAGTCCAATTCAGGCTTTGTTATGCACCATTTTGAATATAGATACTACCGGTCAACATGCATTTTAAATCTAATGAAAATGTTGCATTTTTTTATTTCTGAGATTGCAGGTTATTTGGAGATGTTTTATATAAAYACACCTACAGACTAACAGGGGTACTGGGACATCAACTCTGGTGGCACTCAGCAGAMGTCAGGTTAACACTGGTAGCTTTATAAGCAACTTGTGCAAGTCACTGCCCTTCCTCATAGCTCAGGAGCAGTGTTTGTTACCACCTGTAAATAGCAACTTTCACAATGGCTTTGATTAACTTATCCACGTAGGGCAAATTGCACACAGAGAAGTAGCACAATGCAGAAGGTACCCACAGTGCAAAGAGGAAAACGGCTCCTTTCAGCTCAATGTTTCCAAATAACACTAACATTTACTGTTATAACACAGACAGAGAAGATGAAGTCACATCAGTGTGTACCTAGGAGTATCTATTGCATTTTCTGCAATGTCCTTTCTTCCTTCAGTTCTTCTGTCACTTGGGAGCAGCCCTCTTCCCCCAACTCAAGATTCATCCCCTCTCCCACAAACCTACCAAGGAAAATGCAGAATCACTAAAATAGCTGAGTCAATGCGTTTGTCACAGGGAAATAACATCCCACCAGAGAAGCAATGGAGCATTCCTCCCACCGCAGGGAGCACGAACCATCCAGGGTGTCACAAAYCCAGATTTTCACACTCTACTCTACAATACCAGAAAAAAAACTTGTGAAATCAGCTCCCTGCTTGTCTGAAGGCTCTCTTGCACCCACAGCATTTCCGTCCAAACCAGTTATTATTCACAGTGGTGAATCACYCATCTCAGACTCTTCACAGAAGACCCATCTGTGCTGCAAAGCAGCTCGCGTACAAGCAGCACTCACTTGGAGCTCAGCAGCCACTTCAAAGAGTTTTAGTGCGGGAGGAGGGGTCATATCTGTGCCATGTCCTCAAGAAAACCACTTCTTTCACATTTAATGGTGGTTAAAATCAAAGGAACTTCTGAAATCCAAAACACGTTCTAGATTACTGAAGGATGAGGCTCAGCAAAGGAGCCTACAGATCAGGGCAGCCTTGGGGATGCTGCAGCCTGGCACCCACAGCAGCACCATCACCATCCTGGCTTGGACAATGCCTCTGTGGTGGTCAGCAGCACCCAATGGCCACCTCCGTACCACAGGGAACCCAACCAAGGCTGCAAATCATGGGGCAAAGCAGACAGAAGCTCCCTTGTACCAGCACCTTGGCATCCTCTCCTCCCCATCCTGCACACACTCACCATGATGCTGTCACAACATGTTCCCTTCCACTGCTGCATTCCTCTTCCTCACAGTCTAGGGAGGCTCTAGCCCCAAAACATRGTCTTTTATAGAGGGATGCCCCAGGGAGCCTGGCATGTGGGACAGACACACAGCTGAGATCACTTCAGGTGATTCAAGCGGGATTCAGCTGCTTGGTGCTTTGGCAGATCCAATGCAGCTGTRCAGATCAAACCCAGTGCAATAACCATGTTTTGTTTTCCTCCTCTCTAACATCAGCCATAACCTGTCAAGCCAAAATGCCATGTATTCTGTAGTGCAATTTTTAAGAACACCCTTTTTTTAAGTGAATGTATTTAGTCCTGTGAACAACTGTTTGTTCCACCAGAAAAACACAGCCGCTCCTGGATGTACAACAGCACAATAATTTCCCATGGAAAGAAACATCAAATAATTTTCTTCCCACGTATCACAGCTTTTCACTTAATAGAACTGTTTTTCAGATAATAGGTTGAGTAATGGCACTAGGAGAAATGTTCCTTGGGAAGCTCAAAGCAGATAAACTCTAGCTAAGCTCTTTACTCAGGTGAAATTCAGCTCCTGTGTATTATATTTGGGGAATACTTTATAGTTCCCAAGCAGAGCCACTGTAAGTGTCAAGGCTCAGTTAAGAAAAACAAAGACCATCAGCTCCTATCGTGGTCCAAAATGCTCTTACTCTCTCAAGTTATTCATGACAGCAAAAACCAAAACTCTCATGGTCAATAGCAATGACAGTAAAGCTCAATAATGCATTGTCTGTGTAACCGAGACCTATGGGCTCTCACCTGAATAAGACACAAGCATACCATAATCCATGCTATGCCTTTTTCAAGCTATTTTATGTTCATTATTGATATATTCCCAGACTAATACCATTCTCCTCTCTGCTGACTCCACAAGAGCTGAAGAGTATCTAAAGTTATTAAGCTGGGTCTCTTGGACCGGTGAAGTTTTGAGTCATGCTAAGCCACAATTTTTTAAGCAACCCTCAAGAGTGACTCCTGCTGAAGACCTAGTAGCTCTATAGTTTGAGARCTACTTTTTTTTTCAGAAAGGAAAGCTGAAATGTGCTGTGTGCTTCATGCTACTTCTGTAWTTCCTCGTAGATATATTAATTATTTTGCTTAAGTCTGTATATTTCTGCAGAGCATGAGGGATAGACCAGGTTTACGGTCCATTGTTTTAAATGCACTTTCATTTTTAAGCAATTTAAAACCTAAATTTCTAATCTGAACATTATTAGCACTGAAAAAATACTATTTTAACCACTTGTGTAATTCCTCCCCAAACTCCTGTATTTTACTTACTTGATATTATCCATTCAAACGAACCTGGGGCAAATGTTACAGAAATTTATAGGCATTTATTTCCTATATAGACCATATGGSCTGCTGCTACTGTAATATTAATTTTGGGACTAGCACAGGGAAGAGGTTGAACTAAGACTGCTTCTACCTTCTGCTATTTGTTCCTACAGATGGCGGGTTTTATATAACAAAATTAATTACAAGTCAAAGTGTATTTGTCTAGGATGTACAAGACAGCTGGTCTCTGTTTATGGTAATGAAATTGTTCACAGGTCTTCTCTCTTTGTGCTCTCAAGTTGGTTACTTCCTTTCCTATATTTACACCTCTTCAGTTAACWCCTCAGGCATTTCTTACTTGTTTGTAGCAGCACATGCCCCAGAGAGTGTAAATGGTCATTTTACTCTTTTCCACATCTGCCACTTTCATCTGACATTGCCTTTTCTGGCTGGAGAAAATGAAGTTATGMGATAAAAAGATATTTGAGCCCAGGTAGAAGGTGCTTTAATTGTAAACACTCATTTACAAAAATCTCTACTTGCCCAACAGCTTTTGAGAAAATATCCTCTTGAAGAAGGCTCTTTGAAGCAGATCCTGAAGTGAATTGGTTTCAATTAAGTTACAACCACCTACCCCAGTGAGGGTCTGTCCCTTAGGTAACCTAAATAGTAAATAGTTTTGCATTCCTATCAAGGGTCTTTGATCTAGGGTCTTGATATCCCTTGCTGTTTAGCAGGTGGCGAGAGGACGGTTCAGTCCCCAGAAGAAGGCAAGACGGTGCTGGCCCTCCTGCCGAGGGGTTAGGTGAGGAAAGCCAAGTCCCCAAATGAAGGCAATTTCCCCCTTTCTCGTTCAAAACCGCAGCAAGCGTGGCCTCATTTGGGCCCTCCTTTACATCTGTAAATTGAATCAGGCTCTGCTTGAAGCTTTTCTCACAGTTGCTCTTTGGCTTAATTTCCTTTCTTGCTACCTGATAGCCTGMAAGGGCACAGCAAAGGAGGGATTTATCTGAAGGCAAAACCCATTGATTTTGCCCCGAGATTCATGACATTGTGATTTAGCTTGCCTCAGATATGCAAAGCTGTAATTTGCTGTATTTCCATCCAACTCACAGAACATACTCCCCGGGTCTGGCTTGCTTTAAGAGCAGGTCAGTGGTCTCCATGGAAACTCAAACTGGGTGCAGCACTTCAAATTGATCTTCTTATTAATAATTTCACATGGCATTCTAGAGAAATAAGAAGGCCCCTTCCTGAAGGCTCAGAGTTCCTCTGACATTAGCTACAAGAAAAGCACCTTTTAATTAGCAGCTTGCCCCAAGCCAGCAATACTCCAGATCTTATCACTGGCAGGATTCAGTCACCTCCAATTGCTAGGAGAGAACTTGRCTTTCCCAAACTCACCATTGTCTTCTCTGTCCACTCTGTGAGCCCCGGACCACAAGGTATTGAGGTTCAGTGCTCCAGGAGCGCAACAATAACCATTACAAAAATGCCTTGATGGAGCTGCAGGATAGTGAAGGCAATTAAATATGTGGCATCTCGGTCAGAAGTTCATTCACTTCTCTTTAGTCATCCAGCTGGTATCAGGAGTTAACGCCAGCAAACTAAACTGTGCTAGAATCTATGTGAAATACTCTCTTGACCAGTTTAGTGCACAGTGCTTAGTTGTTCTTTATTATTATTATTATTATTAATACAAATAATAATGTTTAAGAGAGCAGCACTTACAGCCAGCAAGACACATRGTTGCATAAACAAAAATAATAGCAAAGCTCCTCTGAAAAACCAATAYGTAGGATGGATACAGAAGTGCATCACTCAGATGAACACTATTCGATAAAAAGGATTTGAGCTKCTTCTTTTGGAGGCTCTTCTTAAGTAGAAACCTAAGCGAAGACCTGGAACTCTGACTATGCTGTAAGATTTTAGGCCTGAGCTAAAGCCAATGGAAGATGACAGAAAATTTTCACCCTAACTGTACTAAAATTTGAATCAGGGTTTGATTCAGTATCATTGAGAAAAGACCTCTCTAATTTTTAATAAGGAAGGGAAAGACAAAACACTAAAACAACTAGACAGAGCAGTCAGTAATGAAGCGGAGAATTAAAAGCTTTTGTTYCTCCTTTTTCTATTTCATACAATATGAATAGATTCCAAAACTATTTTGAAAGATCAAAATAACTTGGAACAAAAAAAAATATTGAAAAATACCCCCATAATCTACCAGCCATTGTATTATTCAGTGTTCTTGGAAGAAGACAGTCCAGGTTTATGATCCAAATTACAGATAAGAGTTGGCAACAAAGCAAATAGAATAAAAAATGCTCTTTTATATGAAGAAAGTGGGAGAAAAAAAATATGTGTTTGTTATCTTGCTGAGTGCAGCCCAGTTCTCTGTCAGAAAAGGAGGCATTTACAATCAACTTTATGAAGAAAAGTAGATAAAAGAGAAAAATATCAGATGAAAAGTAACTGAGGCAAAAAAAAAAAAAAAGAATATTTTTTCCCTCCTTTCTATTTAGAAGGCCAAACCAAGGGAAGCAGCCATTCTGTGCTTGACACATGTTTAATTTTACAGGAGTACAGGCTCAGATCTCAGTATGCTGGAGTAAATCCATGCAGCCCAGCTCCACAGTCCCTCTCTTCAACCATATATCTGAATCTATATAAGTTAAGATGCTAATGCAATGCAAAATAAAGCCCTGACTATTCTGCAACAACAAATATCTACCTTCTAGCATCTGAATACTTATTGTATGCTATGGAAAGTACTTACCATTAGGTAAGTGTGTGAACAGGTGGCCTGTAGGCTTATTGAGACTGTAGTAGGACTAGTTTCCTTCATGCAAAATGAAGCCTATCTGTAACACTCACTGCAAGCTCCGACTGCATCAAAACATTCGTGCATCTATTGATCTTGAACAAGATACTACTTGTAGTAGCTTTTGAAAAAGGGCTACTTTTCCCTGCAATTTATTCTACTCTGTCCGATGTAGCCAACAGAGAGGTGCCCATTTATTCACTCTTTTCAAGTGGTGCAACCAGCACAGTCAGCTAGTTAGAGACTCCTGTGACAGAAATATATCAAATAGGCCAAAGTCACCTTCTTCTTCTCTTCCAGATAATTAAATTCTATAAGAAAAATGGATTGCAATAGCTTACATATCTAGTATTATTATACTGCTTCCCTTTTTGTCCCTATTATATTTATTCCTGATAAACTTGCAACATTTTTTCCTAATTTTCTGATTACTGCCAGCTATAATATGATAGAATTTCTCCTTCTTAGAACCAGCACCCTTAGGGTATCTATTGCTGATGATCTCCCTTTCCCTTACAGTTAAGAAGGAGAATTAAGGCCTTGAATCCAGCTGAACATAAATGAGTCACYGATGAGACATTGCTGTCAGAGCCTGTCTAAGGAGTGATTTGTGACTTGCCTCTCATTCAGGCAGAAATCCTTAGAAAAGATTCAGTCAAGAAAGAGTAATGAACCTGATAGGAGCTGGCCAGACAAATGAGGGAATCACTTGACTTCTGTGAAAAGATGCTAGATTTTTAAATTGGATYGTACATTTTTGTTAATATAAACTCAGTTGTCAATTTCTGCTGAATTCCTATTTCCAAACTGTAAATCAGATCATTGTATTCTTTAGATCTCTTTATGTGTAAATGTCTGRAGATAAATACATTTAAACATACAGATTTTAAAATCTG